TAGCTCAGTGGTGCCACCGCCTACCTTGCAAGTGCAAGGACCCAAGTTCGATCCCTGGTACCAAAAAAAAAACAAATTAAAAAAAAATATATATATATATATATGAGTAATCCTAATCCAAGTAGAATGGGAAGAAGGGAAACTGAACAAAAATCCTTTAAGAAGACTGGAAAAAACACTACCACAGAGGCCAAGAGCAAAAAAAGGTAGTGGCAAGGATAGAACTATAGAATGGTAATGGCAGAAACTAAATTTTAAAGGGAACCAAAGAGCTGAAGATAAAAGCTGGAAGTAATAGCAATTGCATATTTATGAACTTTGCATGTGAACAAATTAAGGTAAGGATAATAGTGTGATATAATCTTTTTTTTTTTTTAGTATGATATAATCTTAAAAAGACTTCCTAAAGATAGGGGTGGTCTGACACACTTAAAAAACTACTAAGACGAAGTAGAGAGAGGAAGAAGTTAATTTCTAAAGATTAAGAAGTTAGAAATCTATGAAGGTGAGGAGTCTTCACAGAAAATACAAAGGAAAAGCTGGTGTGGCTGCACACGCCTGTAATCCCAACACCTGTAAGGTTGAGGCAGGAGGATCACAAGTTTGAAGACTGGAAGACTACCTGGACTACATAGTAAGATCTTCTATTTAAAGTGGGGGAGGAAGCTCTTAAACAGTATTTTTGTTTTTGTATAAAGGATCTCACCAAATTGCATAGGCTGGACTTTAAATCCTTCTGCCTCAGCCTCCCAAGGAGCTGGGATTAGAGGTGTGTGTCACAATGCCTGGCTCTGTTTTAAGCAGATAAGTATCCATCATTCCCCAGGCAAGCACTTTTTCTACACCTTGACCTATAAAGTGAAGACTGCCAAGGAACATACTTCTCTTTCTTTAGCTCCAGCAAAAATTCAACTATCCAGCTTCAGCTATTACTACACTCAAAAAAAAAAAAAAAAAAAAAAAAAAAAGGAGGGGCAGCAAATTTTTGAGGTACTTCCCATTTATGAGTTCCCTTGGCTAAAAATGTAGAAAGCTTGCTGGAAGCACCATGTACCCCTACAAACATCGTCATCCTGCAAGATGTCTGTATACTATGCCACACACACTTTTCCATATATACAAATCCCCAGAGAAATATTTTAGTCTGTTTTTACTTAACTAACTGATATACTTATTCATTTTGCCAAGGCTCTACCTAGCCCTGCCAGATCATCTGATCACACTGTTCACCCAAAAGACCCTGTGCTTCAGGGTCCGAGTCAGGTTTTCCATTTCATGGCATTTCACATACTCCCACTGCCTCCACCCTATCCATACGCAGGCAAACATCACTTTACAATAATTATGTGCAAGTAAGGCCCAATCTTCAAATCACAAGACATTTTTCTCCCTCAAGAAATATGGTTGAGCCTTTGCTAGATCTCAAAGTCAAATTCTGGTCTCTATTTTTCTGTTCCTAGGATATATAACATTCAATATTAATTGGTGATTCAAAATTTAAAAATACACATTACAAAGTAAACCACTGCTTCCTCATAAGAATCAGTATACATCACCACTGTCTTTAATGTTTGATGTAATCAACCTAAAGAACTTACTGCTGCTAATCCCTAAACTACAGAATTGCTTTCTGCTTCCTGTGTACCTTTACACACTTCTGACAAAACACTGTATTTCAGGGCTGGTGTTTGGCTCAATGGTTCCGCCCCTGCCTCGCAAGTGCAAGGATGGAGTTCGATCTCGGGTACCAAAACACTGTATTTACAATTCACTGCACTTACTAGTTGATCATCCCTAATCCAAAAATTCAAAATCTGAAATAGATTAGGGATGTTCAACCAATGAACAAATATTCTAGGCAAATATTCCAAAATTTAAAAAAAAAATCTAAAATCTGAAACACTTCTTGTCCCTAGCATTTGGGATAAAAGACACTCATCCTATACTTATTTACATGTTTCTGGTTTACTTTTCCTCTATATAACTTCTTGGGACAAGATAATGCAAGTACATGGATTAATTAATGTTATACCTAGAATAAAAGATGCACTAGACAAATGGGCAAAGAATAGATAGCTTATTAGAATCAGGAAAACTGCTTATCCTCTGTATATTCCCTATGAGTGATCCTCAGATGGATATTTACCATTAAAAATGCCTAAAATTCAGTTTTAAAATCCAACTGTCAGGATGGGGATTTAGCTCAGTGGTTCCACCGCCTGCCTCGCAAGCACAAGGTCCTGAGTTCGATCTTCAGTACCAAAAAACAAAAAAAAACCCAACTGTCATTTTGTTTTTTAAATGTCAGAAATCTAGTCATGACATAGCCATGTTGATTTGTCCTTTTTTTTCCCAGTATTAGGAATTGAACTCAGGGTTTTGCCCTTTGCCAGGCAGGCAAAGCGCCACTGAGCTACATCCCTGGCCCTTGATTTATTAAATTGTAATTCACTTCAATTAAAATAATTGCTGGGCTAGGTGTGGTGGCACAGGCCTGTAATCCCAGCACTTGGGAGGATGAGGCAGGAGAATCACTTCAAGTTCAAGGCCAGTTTGAACTATAGTGAGAGCCTGTCTCAAAAAAACCCAAAAACAAAACAGTTCTAATCATTCTGAATCTACACAGGTGGTCCAAGTCTAGCCAAAGTGAGTTGAGACTGGTCTTACAGGGAGCTCCCAATAGCTTGGGAACCCTACTCCCAGACTTCTCTCTGCAAATCACATCGATTATGAGTTAAAACCAAGTTCTCAACCCAGAAACAGACTATCTTTAATCCTATAATCAGTTCACTAGTTCCCCATAACATTTCCAAGTCATTACACATTTTTAAGTAACATATCCCACTAAGTTTTAGATTGTATTTATGAAAGACTAAATAAACACTAGTGAATCAGTCTCAGATATTATTAACAGTATTTGCTACTATAATTACTAAAACTGGGAGAGAATCCTAGTGTGACCAAGAAAAACAACCAACCTTCCCCAGTTTTTTTAAATAGCCACATGGTATCAGAGCCAAAAGCAAAAACAAAACAAAAAACCCAAACAATAAAAACTAGAATATTTCCTATTATTTACAGGAATAAGTTTAGTTTCCACCAGAAATGAAGTGGGGCTAACAGCCAGTATGATATCCAACTTGTTTTATTAACAACCCAAGCTGTCAAACAAGCTTCAGTCTGGAGCATAGAACAGTTCAGGAAATATGACTATGAACCGAAAAACCTGCAGAGCAGGGACTCAAATTTAGTCAAATTTCCTCACTGGGCTTGACTTTAACAAGTTTAATTAAAATAGTAAGGAGTCTGTGTTTCTTTTTATCACATCCTTAAGTTTGTTTGTTTATTTAGTTTGGTGCTGAGGATTGAACCTAGAGCCTCATGCTTGCTACTGAGTTTATTTACTACAGTAATCAAACCAAACTAAACTGGAGATTTGAATTTTTGTCATTTATATCACCAAAATTTAACCAATATTTCAAGAAAGCATTGTGTCTGTGTGTTCATGTAACCTCAGCCCTAATACAAAACAGTAAGAGCCAAAGGTCCGACAAAATTCAACATTATCTTATTGTGTGTAAAAATCACCCATGGAAAAGAGAAAGGGAATGTTATGGTGAGAAAGTGCTAAAGAAAGCCAGGTCAGTGGTTCTTGAACTAACCTGCCTAATATACTGCAGCCTCCAGGCAAATTAATTCACCCTTCATTGTCTCAGTTTTTTCGCGTAAAACTGACATGGAGACAAATGAGAAGATACCAAGTTCCTGGTCTTTTTTTTTCTTTGGGGCTCAGAATATACTTATATATTTGCTTTCCTCTCCATTACTGCTTCTCCATATACTCACATTTAAACTTTTTGAAGATGTCCTGAAACATGACAACAGGCTCACATCTACGAAATGGAGTCCTCACCTCTATGAGGGTGGGCTTACTGATTTTGCAGTCAAAGTATGGAGTGGAGCGGGGCATGGCATGGTGGTGCACACCTGTAATCCCAGCACTTGGGAGGCAGAGGAGTAAGATCCCAGCCTAGCCTACCTATAGGAATACCTTTTCTCACACCACAAAAAGGTGTGGAGTGGGAAGACTGTATACTCTCAATTATTTCACATTTCCCCGAGACTTAAGGCTGCCTCCACAGGACAAGAGGAAAGACTAATTAGAAAGAATATTACAATATAGGGTCATAATGCAAAGATTTTGTTCAAATTCTACAAGATAAATGTTTGAAGCCTGGGCAGAACAAAAGAATTCTGTGTCTCATTTATAGGAAATGTTCAATAAACAACTGTTGAATTATATAATCAAATATCAGAACTTAACTTGATTTCTTTTATGCCTCTCATGGGAGACCTTCTTCAGAAAAGAAAAAAATAAAAAAAGAGAAGCATTTCTTAAGTACAGCATGAGAAGGTAACAGAAGGCTCAGCAAAACAAACCTTTCCCATACTGTATAAGAGACAGCATGAAATAGAGCAAGCCAATTCATTCAAAGTCAGTGTGGAAATGGGTCAAACATGAGTATCTGGCCAATACGACACAGCATACACTTAGTCTCCTGCAAAAATGACTCGGCTTTCCTTGCTATGGGACAAAGCAAATATTAACAGTCTTCTTCACATGAGGTATTTCACAGAAGCAATTACTGGTTTTGCAGAAGATCTTTACATTCATTGAAGTTTATTCCTTTATCATTTAGGTCAATACTAAATATTCCGCAAAACTTTTGGTTAGAGACAACAGTAGCGCAACACCTGTACCGACAGGAGAGGCAAATTACACTTAAAATGTTATCTGCTTGGTAATTTAGTCAATAGTCAATTGCTTAAGTACCAAAAACTTGCGAAATATAATTCCGTTCTAATGCTGCGTTTGAAAGACATTTAAAGCTTTTCTTAGATTACATCTTCACAGCAGAAATTGCAAATAATGACAAAAAGGAAATGATTTCATAAAGATTCTTTCGTGAAGTGAATGTTCTTTCAAAAGTGACAGGGATACCATGCGATAAAAATAATAGAATTAAAACGCTGACACCAGATTTTTGGAAAAGTAGGGTATGAACTATAACCAGCAACACCTGGCCATTTCCAACCTTCAGCAATCTGCGTGCAACGCGCGTTTCTCAACCGCACGGTGGATAGCAGATTTGCGTTTAATCACCGCGTAGCAAGTCCCCGCTCGCCCTCCCTCCCCCCTGCGCCGGGCCGCTCACGGGGCAGCAGAGCAAGCCCCGGGAACTCTCACAGGCCGGCCTGTGTGAGCAAAGGGAAGGAAATGACACAGGCAGGGGGAAAAAAAAA